AACAATGGGTCTCATCGGAGATACTCGTTTGACGATAATGAGAAGAGTTGTTGTTTTTGGCGATTGGCTAATATTTTGAAAAGTCCATGTCAAACCCTCCTTGGGAACTTTTTGTTCTCTCTCATACATAATTTGATCATGTTAAAAAAGGGAATATATATAAATAAAAGCCGCACAACCACCCAAAGATTATGAGCACATCATAAAAAGGCATCTATAAAAAGGAACTAACTTTAACCGTAGGGCTAAAAAAGACTTGCAGTGTGCTTCAAACGGCTTGGGACCAACACAGTATTTTTGCAGTCTGTCCGAGTCCTTTGGTCTTTTCATCAAGCCCACCAGCTACTTGTAAAATTAGTTCTAAGCAAACAGTACATCCTAGTTTCCTAAAGTAAAAGTCTCTATCAAACAGTGTCTATCTTTGTCACACAAACTGCTTTTGACCATCTGATGTTCTGTACCCGTCTGGACAGTGCGTTTCTTCTTCAAAGCGCTGTGTGTGGTACTGGTTTACATTCCCTTATCATATTAACAAGGCAGACATATATATTTAGTCGAGGCCTGTACTTCCATTGCATTAACAGAAAACAAAACATCAGAGAAGAAGCAGATCTCCTCGCTCTGCATATCTCCAGCCTGTGCGGATTGGTCCCGCTTCATTTCGGTGGCTGGCTGGAACATCTGTTTCTGCTGCTCCAAAAAACTGTTTGTTTGTCTTAACAATTACGCCCTGATGTTTCTCATTTCATTTCTTAAATCTCTCGAAAGTCATTATCCAGTTTCAGGTCCTTCAAGGTTCTGAATTTGTAGAAACTCAATACGACCATCTGTTGAAAGCTGGTGTATACATCAGGCTACAGTCAGCTCACCTTTGACATTTCAGAGGAGTCGTAATGGAGGAAGCATGCGTCCTATCTGTAACCTGCTGGAGTAACATGCTTGCATAGTAAAGCGAGTCAGCGTTGGGCTGTTTGGATCATCTGTCAGAGTAGGGGGACATGGGAGAAATAGGGGAGGGGGTCCCTCTGGGAGACATATGCGTTGTAGTTAAAATAATGAAAGTGTGAGCTCAGAGCAGATAAGAAGTGCTACTAATGACAGCTTCTTGTAAACATCAGTGACACCTTCAGCTACTGCGTTTGCCTTCACAGCTTCTCCAACACAGCGCCACTTTATCCAATTCCACTCACAGCTTGTCCCTCTAATACATTTAGGGAGGGAAAAGGAGGGTGGAAAAGTAAAGGGTTTTTTGTTAGCACTGCAGCTGCAGGGTGCACTCACCAGCCCAGCAGTCACAAGAACTCAAACTCTTTCTCTGACCTGCCCATCTTTCCCATCAACCCCCTGCTCATGGCTGCTGGGTGTTGTCAATCAGCACCCCCCTGGCTCCTTGAACATGGGGGCTCATTGGCATGCTGCCCAAAACTCCCTTCTGTCCATCTAATGGGGCCTGAGCTCTGGGTCTGTCCTTGACGAATGAAAGCTGAAGTTTGCGGAGTAAAGGCCAGCGTTAAAAAAATGGGAAAAAGGCTGCAGTATGACTCAATCCTTGAGCAATGAGAGTAAGAGAAGTTCTCAAAAGTTCAATCTAGTCAGGTTTCTAGTTTGGGAATAGTTGCTTGGTGGATCACCGCCAACCGTACAACAGTCCACTACATTCTACTTTGTTATACTAAGAAGCTGAAATAGATTAAGCGTCAGAGATTTAGAAAAACGAGAAAGACTTAATTACGACTGTCAAAATGTTGTCACGATGAAAAATAAGGTGGTTGCTTAGAATTTAGATATTTCTCTTTTTCTTTTTTACAGCCAAAAGGTTGATCCTTCATTGCAGTTATATGACGGATCACTGTGTGAAACCAAATAAACAACCCAACCACATTGTGATTCAGCTTTTAAATTCACTTCCATTCACTTTGGGGCCAGGGCTGAGGTTAGCTGCCTGGCCTCAAGTCTGCATGGCCAAGCAAACGGGAGAATGGGAGGTGCCCAAAATATACTTTAGTCCCCAATTTAGACACACCCTCTCCCACCACATTGACCTCCAATAGACATGCATTCACTTAACCATTACCAGAATTCTGAAAGTAAGGCTGCAACTATCAATTATTTTCATATGACGGCTATTTTGTGGGTTATTGATTTTTCTTCATAAATTCGGACAAAATGGTGAAAAATCCTAAACCCCCTGAGCCCAATGTGAAAAGATGTTCACTCATACATAACCTCACTTCCTTTTACCTTTAATGAAACCTGACCATTACAATGGAAACCCAAGCATTTACTGCCACTCTTCAACAATCATGTGTCATTGTTGGAGCATATGCGGTTTCTGATTATAATACTGCATCAGAAAAAATCAAAAGAGCCATTATGAGAGCAGCGGCTGGTATCATTACACATGCTTACATTCAAATTGCCCACTTAACATAGTTCTCTTACAGCAACATGTGTTTATCATTAGCGAGCACACTAATGGCTCAAACATTATTCAAGCTCACTTAATGGCATAGTTGTGCTTTGTTCAGGGTCTGTCTGATAAGAGCCGGGCCACTAATGGTTTATTAATTTCCCTACGAGCCACAAAAAACTCTGCAAAAACAAAAACATGACTCAGAGGCTCAGGCATTGTCTGATTCAATCACATTACCAATAAGTTACTGTGGGGAAAATCCCACAAAATACTAAAAATACTCCACGGGTCTATGTTCAGCTTGAAATCCAACAGTTATTGGTATTGTAGCTTGGATTTATGGCTTTATTTTTGATGCAATTGCTCTGAAAGAAATGCCTAATAATGCTGTGTTGAAATATTTCCAGCAACAAAGAATGAAACAATATTTTCCACAGACTGACCAGAATGCAATGCACTGGAAGGAGAAAACAATCGGGGAAAAGTGGGAACTCATGGAGTGAGTCAAAATGAGGCAGGTTAAAGGAAACTGACTCGGTATCAAGACTCTGTATCCAAACCTGAGGGAGGATTTCTCCTTTAAATTGAACGCCCGAACACAAAGAGCAAACCTCGCTCTGCCCCGGTCAAAAGCTCACCCAATATTGGGGAGCACTGAAAGGATTTGAAAGGCATCGGAAGTGTCTTCTTGTCCCCCTCCGACGCAACAATGCACGAGCATCTGTTTGAACTTGAAAGTGTTTTATCTGAGAGCAGCCATGTGTGTCCCACTGACTGGATGTCATGCATTGGGGAGGGATTCAACACTTTGTTCTCGATAACTTTTAAGTGTGCAGTTTTCTGACAGTCACCCCTATGTAACAAAAGACTCTGTGAAGCTCTGATGATAGGGGTGAAGAGCAGACAGAGGAAATGACTTCAGGGAAATGAGTGAGGAGCAGCCACAATATTACTATAACTTTTACACAATTATCTTTTTACATAACTTCGTTATTTGACATTAATTTCAATTCAAACTATGTGGATTAATGTGTACATTTCTAAATCAAGTCTGTCTTTGACTCTATAACTATAAACTTTGAGTTGTCTTCCTCAAAGTTCCTGAGGTGCGGCTGTGCGGATCACAACACAGAGAGACATGAGTAGAATAATCTCATGCACACACTTGCACTTGTTAGTGAGGGCATTTTTTGACACGTCCAAAATGTTTCTTACTTTTGGAATATTTTTTTTAAGAAGAGATGCAGAAGAAATCTGTAAAAATGTGCAAATTGGAAAAAAAGAACTGTTCAATCATCCATCAGACTACGTTACACATCTGCATCTTCCAAGTATTTTTTAAATCCCCTTCCACCTTTAATGTTATTGTCATTTGTGTAACTAAACTAATCTTAAATCCAAAATCACATTCCCCATCAGTAAACATTGAAAACACCCTGCAAACAGACAGGTACAGTTGTCTTTGTACGCTTTGCACAGTAACTTATGCACTTGCCAGGTTTTACAGCAATACCAACATGGATTTAGCAAACCGACATTAATGACACCCTGAGGGGGTTCATCTAAAACAATAAAGGCTCTCTGTCTTTGGAGAGAGGAAAAAAACACAACTTTAAATATTAGTCTTATTCACCATGTTCCTGCACAGTGGTAACTGTGGCAGAAGGTTGCTCCTGCAGTGGATTTATAATAAAAGTATAACTTTAGAACAAAGTCATGCTTCTTATAGAGCAGGTTCCTTTCCTCCTTTTATGACTGAGACACCAATGTGTCAAATGGAGGGACATATTTGCAATTTCTAAAAGAAAATGCTCTTTCATCTTTCAAAGAGCAGAAAATGCAGAGAAGGCCATCTGTTTTTAACTGGGATGTGAAGTATCCCTGCCTCCAAGGGCTGTTGGACAGAACAAATATTTATCCCTTACCCCTTTGTTTGATTCACCTCTAAAACAACACAATACACTGAGATGCGTCAGAATGCATTAAGATGACAGATAACTGCTGAATGATGATTCTAATTTGAATAGGTCCATTTTTTGCAAAAAGCTTACAAAGCATGGTTTTAAACAACATGCTGATCAGTGTTGTATTTCCTATTTTTAGATAATGATCTAACAAATATGCACCAAAAGCCAACAAAATCATATTATTTCACTTCCTATATACAGAGACATATTCTTAATAACCAGAGATGTCATCCAATGAAGTCAAAACTGTACTTTAAGAAGCACAACGAGTCATCAATTGGAGTCAGAGTATGTAATGTCAAAGTAGCCTAAATGCTGATACAGTATATGGGGAGAGTAATTAATGTACAAAATATTAATCTTTGTACACGGGCGCCCCCCGTTTAGCAGCCTGCCACACAGACAGTGTAGCATGCCTCTCCGTGCCGCTGCTCCACTTTCCCCACAAAACAAAGTAAAGAAAACACGGTAATGTTTTGGAAACTGATTACACTGGCACTGCGGCGCTCTTCTGTAAGTCACTTTTTCTTTTGTGATCGTTACCAGAGAAGCCCAGCTGGCCTGGTGCAAACACCGAAGCCTCCCTCCAACCCTCTCCCCTGTCTGCCGCCCGTCCTTACCTCTCTTGCAGGAGAGCAAAAGCTGCGAGCCGTCGGGTGAATTAGCAGCAAAACGCATTCTTCTGGAGGCAAATCCGTACGGGGCCCTCCATTAGACACGGGCTCAAAGTGCGAGACGACAGGAGGAACATGAAAACAGCCGGAGGTAGAGCGAGTCAAAGAAAGTCTTCAACCCGGCGGAGCAGCGCAGACTTCGGGGCCAAGGTGCGACAACTCCCCCCTGGTCTAAACTCGAGCTGAGGTAGCAGAGTTTCCTCCTGTGAAGTTTTGAGTCCGCGTGTTAAAGAGTTACGTCCCGTTTTGTTTGCTCACAAACTCTGTGTCTGTCTGTAGCCCGTTATTGTAACTTCTCCCACAGCTCTCGGTCTCCGTCTCTAGCGCTGCCTCTTCCACACACGCATCTTTGAAGCCAGTGTCGAGTTGCTCAGCAAATTATGGCAGCGCCGGAGCTGGTCGTCAAACCAGGAATGTCCCAGCCCCACAGCTCAATACGGCTCCTGGAGTGGAGAGGGGAGGCAGAGAGAGAGGAGGGGGTGTTACCCATATAGACAGTGCATTAACAAGTTTTACAATCTTGGGAGAAAAAAAACTTCCTCCTTCCTTCCCTGAACACTTACCTGACTTATTGTTTTCAATCGTATCCACCTGAACTTCGTGCAACTCCATGATGCACATCAACATCATAAATATGGCTTTAACATGAATAATAGTTTTTTCTTTAAAGTGAGAATTGTTGTAATGTTATTTGACAATTAAGAGTGTGCACATACACATATAAAATACAATAATACAAACCTTTAAAACCCCAAATATCATCAATAAAAAATGTAATGACGTTTTATGATTTTATTCAATCAATAGATGTGTGGTTGATTTTGTTGAGTTTGTTCAATGCTATAAAGAGATATTTCACCTGTAGGCCTATATAACCTCTTACTGAAGTTGCAGGGATGGCAGGAAATTACATGGTTTTATTTTGGAACTACAATAAGCTGTTATTTTATGCAAGTGATCATCATATGAAAACCTGACACCCATATAAACAATAGTTATTATATGTGTGGAAACAGTACTTTAACCTTTATGGTTGACATTAGCTTTACACATAGTTTTCTTGCCATGAATTTATATGTGCATGCATGTTAGTCACTTTTTTTCTTCCTCTTTCCGCATTATTTGTGGTTACTGAAATATATTTTTTTACTAGCAAGACCAGAAACCAAACTGTGTCTACACAGGTTGCTAAAGCTTCCTTTACCGTGTAAATCTACCTATGTGCTTAAATCTGTGATAGTTCCATACCGCACAAACAGCCTCAAAGCCATAAAGGCAGTTCTCATTTTTCAGTGGAATACACTGTTCCTTGTAGATTAAACCCACTCTCACTGGGCCCATTGAATTGAATTAAAGTTATTTGGGAGGGGGATGTTTGAACAGCTAATGGCTATGGGTAATTTCTGGCATCGGACCTGTTGGTTGGAATGGCTGAATGTTGGTTGGCTGGATCCATTTCCTCATCACTAGGTGCAACGCCTTCACAGAGGGGTGGGGGGGGGAGGGAGCTGGGAGTGTAAAACAGTCATCTGTTGTGCGTATGGGCATGAGTAAACAGCATAATCATCTTGGAGGCAGTAATTATGTGCTCCAGTGTTGGCCGGGCGGCAGCGGCGGGCCCACCCTGCTTCAGACAGCAGGTGCAGCTCACCATGTGACAGCTGACTGCGATGGAAGGTGTGATCCAATCCTCCCGGGGCTGGCTCGACCCAGTGAGGGCCTTCAGGCAGTCAGGGCCAAAGCCAACAACGCCAGAAAACCTCTGACACAGGAGGAAAGGGAAAAAACGATGGAGGAGGTGGTGGAGACGGGACTGATGAAGGACGGATGCTCCAACTTTGTTTTTACAGCACTGCTATCTTTTTTGCCAGTTTCTCTCATTTAGACATTTTTTCCCTTGTAATGGACAGTTTGACCTCTTCCTCCTGATTTATGACGAGCACTTAATCCACATTTCTATTATCAATACTTTAATTATTTACATGTCTTGGTAAAAGGGTTAAGCACACTGAAATAATTATTATGGACTCTTTAATAGTGATTCATAACCAAATATTTAACTGCAGATAAACTGAGGATCCTTACCATATAAAGGGCAACTCAACTTGGCAACCCGCAAGTTTCTTTAAGCCGTATATAAAGTGTAAATAAATGGCGTGTGAATCATTATTAACAATAATCTGTTTTCATTGGACAGTACAGCCCACTTTATTCCTCATCATTATTTGTAATTAATTTTCTTCACCCCATTTTCTCCCTCCTCTCTCCGAGGGTCAGGAGCTGGTTGGAGATGGAGACGGAGGCTCGGGTTCAGAGGGGGGTGAGTGGGGTGATTGGACACAGTCGCATGTGAAAGGCCAGAGAGCGGCGAGTCCACAGGGAGCAGGGTCCGCACACAAAGGGCCAGGGAGGGGCCCGGCGGGGGCGGGAGGGGCGGCCGAGGAGGAGAGGCCACGCTGGGAACCAAAGCTGACAGCACAGACACTTCTCATCCACTCAGGGCTGGCCTGTCTCTGGCCCCCTGGGGTAATATCCTCACTTATCTGAAAGGAGCTGCCAGAGAACCACGGCAGCCTCAGCCAGCAGAAGCAGCAGAAACACTGAAACCCACATCTCACTGATATGAAGTCTCTTTCCTCAGTCATATCAGCCCTGATCAAGAACAAATAGCTTACAACACACTTAGCCACAGAGGTGGGAGGTAACTACATTTACTCAAGTACTGGACTGAAGTACAATTTTGAGGTATAGTAGTTGACTATTTCCATTTAATACTTTATACCTTTACTCCGGTAACATTAACAGTGTGAATTGCACACATAGTGCACATACGTTTTTATATTTTCATGAGTGGTATTTCACAACAATGATATATACTGTAACAGTCTATGTTGGAGTAGGGTCTACCAGTAGCTACTTTTAACAAAATGTATCACAAAAAAATCAACTACTCTTTAAGTCATTAAGAGTCAAATTATTTAGATATTTTAGAAAAAGTCCATCAGAACTTTGTTTGTCTACAACAGTAACATGCTACGTGATGCAACAATATTAACTAGAAAAATGTCACATGTATAAATATAATTAATACACACACAAGGTCATTGAAAAGGTTTGACAGTAATGTATTGGTACTTTTACTCAAGCATGAATACTTCATCCACCACTTTTTAGCTAATACAAAATTCTCGAGATGGCGAAACAACGTCAGTTTACACTTTATACATTCAAATACTGATTTGTGTATTCGGCTTTTATAGGGGAAATGGTACAGTAGGACCGCCTAACAAGGGCTTTGTCTAAATGCTCAGGCTGGGTTTGTTTGGAGTTAGTCAGTCCAGTTTGCTGTCCTTTGCTCTGAGGATAATAAGCCTCCGACCACTGTCAACAGAGTGTTTATGACCTGCAAAGCAGCCCTGGGTTGTGTTGACTCTGTCAGCAGGGGCCTGAGGGACGCCTGACTCCCAGTGCTATTAAAAGGCACTTCCAGATAAGAGGAGTACCATCCCTCTGTGGGAGCCGGTCAGGATTTGTGGATTCGACAGCAGGACAACATACCAAGGCTTAATTGTTGTTTGTTATATTCGTTAGATCCGACTCCCAGTTTTATGTAATTACTTTAAAGCAGATGTGGAGGGTAAAATGCCATGAACAAGCACTTGTTGCATTTATTTTTCTAGAGTGATTTCAGACAGTCCTTTTTCTAACCTGCAATAACATTAATTTTTAACGTTTATACGTTTTTATAAGACAAGAAAAACGTTGTGTCGGGCGAATACATTTATACGAGACTGAGAAAAATCACAATATTTTACAACATAGGGCAAATGGATTTCCCCTCAGAGGGCTGTATATCTCATGACTTAGACAGGTGTGTGCAAGGAGTGTGTGTGTATTGTCCCTTTTCTGTATGTTGGACTGGGTATGCGCCTACAGTTGTGTGTGTGGGTTTGTAAAAGAAAGAGAGAAAGTGAAATTTGAAGGCACCTCTCTACATCTGGTTTCTGCATCACTGCGGTGGGATCACATTATCCATCGTAGGCTCTCTGGGAATTTCATTTTCATCGGTCTGTAACATCTCACTTATTCACACGTCTCCCCCGCAACCATGTAGAACAATCCCGAGTGTCCCTCGTGACTCTGCAGCAACCCTGCACATCCTCTGACCTTCCTTAAAGCCTTCTCCTGTCTGATATCGTGCCTCTGTGAGAACTGTAAAGAGCATAAAACTGTCCAAACTCCAGTTGTCATACACTGTCACTGTTTTGCCTCAGATGTCAACAACCATTTAAATTATTATATACATGAACACAGCTACTGCCCCTCCTACATGGATGGGATTAAAGAAGATAAAGAGTCAAACTTAAAGGATTGATTCATTTGTCATATTTGATGAATTAAGCTAATAAAATTTATTTAAAAAAGTTTTGCTCCAAATTGATGATCAAAGGACAGAGAGATCTGCTTGTTAAATCAAAAGCTGTCTTAATAAAAATGGTATTTGGTGAAATATTCACAATCTCAAATAGTGGATCCAGAGCTCAATGATATAAAAACATGGATATATATACAATTAAAAATAACTATACAAAAAGCATGGGTTTTAAAGCATAGTCAGCGGTTAATCTATGACTAAACATTGGAAAATGTCTTGCATGAAAACATGTAATTTATGGGTCAGATGTATGTTGTTCAACTGATGTAGCAAAATCTACTACCAGTCCGTTTTTTAAACAACTCATGATGTGGAGCTGATGTGAAACTGCTCTGCTACTCTGCACTATATCACTTTCACCGGGGTCAGATTTATAACGGATCCCCAAATCATACGAGCGTGTTGTTCCGGTCTCATCCCCAACATCCGAATCGGCACTGACATGAAGCTGCCACGATAAAGCATGCAGGAGTTGGGTGTAGTGGGTATCTGGGGAACTGTGCAGCAGGAAGAGGTTGAAGTGAAATATCATTCTTGTTTAACACTGATGTTTGCTCTGGTCCCACAGGCCCATGGTGACCTTGTGATTTATGGAGCAGAGCTGGAGGAGCAGATCAGAATACAGCTGCCCCATAGCTGCACACAAACATGTGAATTCCAGACTCAAGCATAACTGCTAGCCTTGCTCTAAATTCAAATTCAATAAAGCTTTGGGTTTTCCGGTTAATAGACTTAAAATATAAGTAAAATAAATACAACCATTTCTTTTGTGTATATTTGCTTCAATCCAGGGATTATGTGTGTAAAAATGTGACGCTTGTTGCTGCACACTGGCTTTTACAGCTCATTCTGAATGGCATGAAGTGATGTAGAAAATGTGCTAGATGGAGAGGATTAGGATCCGAGACTGCAAGTGCTTATCATCTCCCGTAGTACTGGAGTGTAGCCATGGAAACAGGAAGTGAGAGGCAAGCGTCCAAGATGGCCACCAGCTTGTGA